GGGGAACGCGTTTTTAAAACACCCCCCTCGTGGTATGTCGGGGGTTATACACACTCTGACGGTCAAAACGAGCGAAACGTGCCCGAAATTTTGCCCCTTTTTTGACCCCGCCCCTTGGGGCGGTCGCTAAACGCTAGCGGGAACTGTTCGCCCCCTCGGGCCCGGTATCTGACGGGGAACGCATTTTTAAAACACCCCCCTCGTGGTAGGTCGGGGGTTATACACCCTCTGGCGGTCAAAACGAGCGAAACGTGCCCGAAATTCCTCCCCTTTTTTGACCCCGCCTCGCGGGGCGGTCGCTAAACGCTAGCGGAAACTGTTCACCCACTCGGGCCCGGTATCTGACTGGGAACGCGTTTTTAAAACGCCCCCCTCGTGGTGGGTCGGGGGTTATTATACGCCCTCTGGCGGACAAAACGTGCCCAAAATTCCGCCCCTTTTTTGACCCCACCCCACGGGGCGGTCGCTAAAAGCGAGCGGGAACTGTTCACCCTCTCGGGCCCCGGTATCTGACGGGGAACGCGTTTTTAAAACACCCCCCTCGTGGTAGGTCGGGGGTTATACACCCTCTGGCAGACAAAACGCGCGAAAAGTGCCCGAAATTCCACCCCTTTTTTGACCCCGCCCCACGGGGCGGTCGCTAAACGCGAGCGGGAACTGTTCACCCCCTCAGGCCCCGGTATCTGACGGGGAACGCGTTTTTAAAACGCCCCCCTCGTGGTGGGTCGGGGGTTATTATACGCCCTCTGGCAGACAAAACGCGCGAAAAGTGCCCGAAATTCCACCCCTTTTTTGACCCCGCCCCACGGGGCGGTCGCTAAACGCGAGCGGGAACTGTTCACCCCCTCAGGCCGCGGTATCTGACGGGGAACGCATTTTTTAAAACGCCCCCCTCGTGGTTATAAACAGCTTTTTATAAGGTAAAAATAAAACAAGGTCTTTGTCTGCAATGACATGTTTTTTTTTTTTATTGTCATTAATGATTATCTCAATTTCGGCTAAAAGAATTGACAAAATCCTACACACTGTGCCTTTAATGTGAAGGAGCAGTGAACCCAACAAAATATCTGAACTTTTCCTTTAAGGTTTTTATTTGTTTTCAAAGTAGAATTTTATGATCTGGCAGCTCCAGATATGACGCATAAAGTGTTATTTTCTCTCAAGTTGGAATAAACCAAGCAGTCAAAATAAAAATAAAAAAAGGGGGGGAAGCAGCTTGGAGCAGCCAGCAAGTCGTTTCACGTCCTGCTCTGAGCCTCTGATAATAACAGGGTTCAAGAGCCGCATAACTGAGGAGAAGGAGAAGAAGAAGTAGAAGGAGGAGGAGGAGGAGAAAAAAACTGTCCAACCCCTCAGAAGATTTCCTGTCTCACGCAAAGCGCTCAGTGAGTCATCCTCCAGGCCGAGTCCTGCCGGGTGTTTATCTGCCTCTGCCCGAGCTGCGACCACAGCAGCAACAGGCGAACCGAACACAGCCGGACTTTATCTGTCAAAAGTTAAAATTMATGAGAAACTGGGTCCAGTTCAGTCCGGTTCTAAAATGGAGCTACTTCGGTTTCCCGTTTTTTGGTGTGGAACGATAATACTCTTCGGTATCTCGCTCGGAGCGGCGGGTGAGTTCAACTTTTTAAACTTCAAAAACTTAAAAGTTTAAAGTGCGACTAAATGACCGGAAGTGTCTTTTTTATCATTAAATAAAACACCACAAACTATATAACCACTGCAGCAATTAAGATTAGTATTTTATGTAAGACGTTGGGAATTAATTAACTTCTGAAGTGTTTAATTTATTGCGCTTTAGTCCGCCTTAACAGGGGCGCAGCTAAGGGGTGGCCATTGCCCCCCTCCCTTAGCAGCGCCCCTGGCGCTGCTAAGGGAGGGGGGCAATGGCCACCCCTAAAATATAGATTTTCTCTAAAAGTAAAATCATCTGTAAAAATAAATAAATAAATTAGACGTATGTATGTAAAAAGCTATTTCCTAGCTCTGGTATTACACTATTAGCCAGGTAACCTCTGAAATTCGGTTTTGCTGTTTTTTTCCCCCCGTGGCCAACTCAGAAAAATAAAATGATTCTGTAGTCACCACTGTACCGAAAATTAATACTTAAATACATTTAAAATGTACGTTTTGTAAAACATAAAATAAATGTTTTTTTTCCCCCAGAACTATCAGTTGCAATAGATTTTAATGGTGTGCAATTCTGAAATGCAGGACCACACTCAATGTAAAAAAAAAAAAAAAAAAAAAAAAAGTCACGTTGTTGACCTAGCTGGTTGCATTTTTATTATAGATAGAAAAAAAAAACCAGAACCTGGAAGTTGAAGCCAGAACTGAACCGGCTTTTAAGCCCCGCCCCCTTCCATGTTAACAATCAAGACATTAGATTTGTTCAGGAGTTGACTCTTACTTTGCTGCTTTTTGTTAAAGTTTTTTTTTACATGTTTGTAAGCTCCTGTTAAAAGTACAGAGAGTACCATTTAAGTGTGAATTCTACTGATTTCTTAGACATTAGCTGCTTTAAGTCCACGTTCCTCCTTATCTCTTATCTTTGATGCCACGAYTGCTTCCAGGTCCTGTAGCCCCCCCAGAGGAGGACTCGATCGTGAACCCGTTTCTCTCAGACTCCCCAAGTAAGTGCCTTTGGTTGCTCCTAATTCCCTCCTCCCCCTTCTTTTTTGCAATTATATGTAGCCCTGGGTGACAATTACCAGCATTCATCCCTTCCACGGCCCGCCTCCTGGCTTTAAATGACACGCTCTCTTACAGAGAAGCTACTCTGATGATATAATTACTCCGGCTCAGCCACCTTCCTACCACTCAGGCGCTTTTCTGTGTCGATCCGCGTCAAAACACCTCTCCGGCCCTCCGGGCAGAGCTTCRAATTGCTCCGTCGTCCAGCTCAGACCATTGTATTTTTAATGTTTTATTATTTTCAAGGGAGTCCCCGACGGTTGAGGCGGGCTCGGAAAGCAATAATCTGCCTGCAATTTCCTGAGAGGTTCTTGTGAAACGGTTCCACCGCGGTGCAGGTTCAGAGGCTGCAGAAACGCTTCTCTGTACCCCACCACCAACGCCACGCGAGCTGCAGGTCGAACCCCACCCTGCAGCGTGGCTAAGCTGGCACAGTRAGAGTTTTGTGCCGAGTTAAGAGTGCAGACAAACGTCGTGCTTTTCTCAGATCGGCGCGAAGGCATTTCGCTGACAGAAAGCACGCTTTCGCTTGCACTTCCCAGTCTGAGAGCATGTCTGGCCTCATGTGACCGACTTGACACTTTAACACGCGTATCTGCCAAGTCTTCTGCTTTGAACGCCACTTTAAAATGTTTAAAAAAAAGCTGTTTTTGTAATCTGGTGTACATAACAGGTTTAACTTCCTGTGCTCCGAATAGGCAAACAGCTGAAGAGTGGTTGTTGTGGTTTTACTGTAGCAGTGCAGTCACATGTCCTGTTGCTGCCTCTTTTTTTTTTTTTTTAAAGGTTTCATTTGGTCTTATTTCCCACACAGGTCAGGAAGTAGCTCAGTTGTTTTTCCTGTCATGACTCCTTTTCTGTCTTTTATTCCATTTTCTTTTACACTCTATGTGAGAGGCCTTAAAACAATCTGATTTTTATCAAAMTATAATTTACATGAATGAATTGTAATAGAGCCACGATTAGCAATAAATCAGTTAGTTGCACGATAAGTTAAAATAAGGTTGATTATGTTTATTTGCCTGCTTGTTTTCTTTGTTTCGGGATGTCCCGATCCAGATCTTTTGGCTCCCGATACAATCTGATATTTTTTAATAATTAGTCTTTCCGATACCGATCCGATAGCTTTATTTCTTTATTTCTTTCCAAGTGACAAGGTTGGTAGTATTAAAGCGAGCCCTGCTGTTCCCGCCACGAGAAACATCCAGTTTATAGATTTTGCAAGATGCAGTTTCAGCATCATTGTTTTCCATTGAAATGTGTTTCCACACTGTGGACGTGGTTGCATACTTGTGTGTGTCTTGACTTCTTAACGGCAGTTCTAAAGCATGATGATGCTGAAAACTGTTGTGAAAACTGGATCGGCCCGATCATATGACTAAATCCGATTCTACCCGATTTTCAAAAAGTGGCCGTATCTGCCACCGATACCAATACTGAGTTACTGATACTGATCATATATATACAGCAGGTAAAATAAGTATTGAACACGTCACCATTTTTCTCAGTAAATATATTACTAGAGGTGC